CTGAAGTCCCGTCTTCGCTGCCTCTTCTATCAACTTGTTAGTTTTTGCCTGCAGATCTTCAAGTTTATGTGACATTAGGCATAAGTCATCGGCGAAATCCAAGTCTTCTAGGTTCTTTTCCGTCGTCCAGTGTATCCCCCTCTTCTCGCTGCCTACTGTTTGCTGCATGATCCAGTCCACCACAATCAGGAATATCATGGGGGATAGTAGGCAACCTTGTTTCACTCCTGTCTTCACTTCAAAGGCATCACTGAGCTTCCCATTGTGGATTACTTGGCATGTGGCATCTTCATATAGTTGTTGAATGAGGCGGATAAAGGTTTGCGGTACTCCGTAGTATTGAAGCAGTTTCCAAATTACTTCTCGGTCGACGCTGTCAAAGGCCTTCTCAAAGTCGATGAAGTTGAGGTGGAGAGGTGATTGCCATTCTATGCTCTGTTCTATGATGATGCGAAGCGTTGCAATTTGGTCTGCACATGATTTGTACTTCCTGAAGCCTGCCTGTTCCGGTCGTAGTTTTGAATCCAGTGCATCCCTTAGCCTCTCCAGGATGATGCGGCTTAATATTTTACTTGGGGTGGACAGGAGAGTGATTCCGCGCCAGTTCTTGCAAGCACTGAGGTCTCCCTTCTTCGGCAGTTTGACAAGGTAACCCTTCTTCCAATCGTCAGGTACCTTCTCTTCCTTCCACACCTTCTGCAATAGTGGTGTGAGCATGGCCGCTGTTGTCTCTGCATCTGTTCTCAGTGCTTCTGGCGGTATTCCATCTGGTCCTGCTGCTTTCCCGCATTTCAGTAGCTTTATGGCGTTCAGGACTTCCATTTTCGTTGGGGGATTAATGTTCACTTGTAGTTCAGCGGCTGCAGGTGGTATTTCTGGACGAAGTGCAGGTGGTGGTCGATTCAAGAGCTTCTTGAAGTGGTGGGTCCATCGTTTCCTCTGTTTCTCTTCTTTTGTAATTAAATTTCCTTCTTCATCTTTTATTGGTTTCATCTGTGTTGGTCTCTTCCCTGATAGCAACCTGGTTATTTGATACAATGTCGTCAGGTCTCTCTTACCTGCAGCCTGTTCTGCTTCACTTGCCAGTGCTTCGTAGAAGTGTCTTTGCGTGCACTCTTCTTCACTTCTTCGTCCTGTGAAGTGTTTTATACATTGTAATCAGTTCATCTTGTCGTTGAGCATCCTTGCACTGGTTTATCTTCTGCTTCACCATCCTCCTCTCCCTGCTCTATCAGCTTCCAGGTATCCGTCGAGATCCATTCCTTGTCTTCTTTCTTCTTCCTTCCTAATACTGTTGTGCAGGTCTCTTTCCACATAGCTTTCAAAGACTTCCAGTGTTCTTCCACACAGGTTTCTTCAGGGATGTTGCTCGATGTCTCCCATTTTGTCTTGATGGCTGCCTTGAAGATCTCCTTTGTAGTTTCATCCTTCAGTTTCCGAGTGTTGTACTTGGGTTGAGGTCTATCACCAGCTTCCTTGAAGGCTTTTAACTTGATTTGGAAGGTTCCTTGCACTAGGTAGTGGTCTGAACCTACATCTGCTCCTCTTCTTGACCTTGTGTTAAGTAGACTGCGTCTCCATTTTCTTGAGATTGAGATAAAGTCGATTTGATTTTTAGTGTGTCCTAGGTCTGGTGAAATCCATGTCGCTTTGTGGATATCTTTGTGCCTGAACACACTGCCTCCAATCACCAAATCGTTGAATGCGCAGAATTCTGCAAACAATTCTCCATTCTCATTCATTTCACCTAGTGCCTCTCGACCCATGGTTAGTTCTCTTCCCGTGTTGTCCCCTCCCAGTTTGGCATTCATGTCACCCCACCCATTAGAATTTTGATATCGCCAACTGACGTCTTGTCCAGTGTTGATTGAAGTTGTCTGTAGAAATCCCCCTTTTTCTCTTGCTCTGCATTATTTGTAGGTGCATAACATTGTATGATTGTGACCTTTCTTCCTTTGAGTTGAATCTTGCTGTCATGATCCTGGAGGAGATTGGTTCCCACTGCATGAGAGAGAGCCTTCGATGCTGTTGAGGGGGACATCATGATAGCCACTCCAATACTCAGTGTGCTCATGGTTGTCGTGTGTGTGACAACATCGGAGTAGATTATTGATTCTCCAGTTGACAGTTTGGAGAGTCCACTCCCATTCCATCTGCTTTCGCAAATCCCAAGCACTTCGATGTTATACCTTCTCATCTCCCTTGCAATCTGGGCTGCCTTACTGGGTTCAAACATGGTGCGGACATTCCATGTACCCACGTTTACTTTCGCTTTCATCGAGAGAAGACACATCGGCCAATTGGCTTCCCGAAGGCTTTCACCAACTGGCGTCATTTCGCCTCTCCGATTCCAGCGGGGAATAAGTTTGTTTTCATTTTTGATATTTTGTTCGTGCTTTGAAGTTTCTTTAGCGGTTAGATTTGTTTTACGGGGTAGGGTTGCTAGCCCTATGCCCAACCTCCCCTCTTTACCCGGGCTTAGGACCGGCTAGTAACTAGTAAACTAGTTAACCAGGCGGGGTTCATGAAATATATACTATTATTATAACTAAGTATTGTGGATGAACACGCCGTGAACACCAATCACTCTATCTCCAAAACCTCGTTCAAAATAATCTATAGGTGAAAAGAAACCCTTCAAAGGCTTCACGTCTTCGTATTTGCGGGATCGCTGACGTGCTTGCTATCTGTATGGAGGAACCCGAACTTCGTAGGCGAAATAGGATTGTTCAACCACCTTTCCTCTCCTGTCCTTAATTTTCAGTCCTTTAAATCACCTCCTCCCTCTTTTTGACACTGGTTACCCCTAGGTGATTTGGAATTCTTTCTTGATTCTATGTCTTTCCTCGTCACACTTAAGTTTCCAGGTATGTCGTCATGTCATGAAACATTTTATTCAAACTTACTATTCTTTTTACAAGTTCAACCATATTTTGATTAGTGTTCACTATTCGTCATAGTTTTCCTTTTTCAAATTTGTTGATATCCCATACATTAACAATAGTCTTCATGTCACGCTTGAAAGACCACTTCTAACACGAAAAAATGAGTGTATTTTCGACTTACAGCTCTGAGAGCAATATCATTGAAAAGAGACGTCTTGCTAGAATGCTTGCCCTTCACTCGTGTACAGATGGATATATTCCGAGCAATAAAACATTATCACCACACCGTCGACAAGAGTGGACGCTACTAAATGCGGAAACATTTTTAGTAACAGTACAAGTCAAACTACTACGCTACTTCAAATGTTCCGACAAATTTGAATCATAACTCCCAAATTCATCTCATTTCTTCACACCGTACTAGGCTGCGATAAGTTCTCTTATTGAATCTTTGAACAATTCACTACCAACTGCTGTCAGTGTCATGCAACGGCATTTTTGTTGGATATCTGATGCTCGCCACTCCCTATAGACGATTGCATCTCTTCAATTACGTATTCACTCGCACATGTTACACAGGAAGTCAAAAAAGACGCCATATTGTGGAGGCCATAGTAGTAATACAGAATCCTTCACAAAGTGTGCTGGTAATTAAGCTCTTATTCACCTCGTATGCCCTACAATGCGTTGCTAAATCTTCATCTTTCTTGCTATGAATAGCAGACTTTTCACTTCACCTTTTACTTTTTGAATGCGAATCTGGAGTTTATGCAGTGCGTTAGCGGCCTGCAAATCTAACGTCTTTTTATACACTGGCTGTTTGCTTATCGTACCTCAGTGATGGTTCCGCGATTGTATGATTCATGCATGTTAGCAACATTTCACATCAAAGATTCACAATCTCGCTGAAAGTTACGACTGAGAGCCAAATGTCTGCATTGTCAAACCCCAGCACACAGAAGCAACAAATTATTTTGAACCTGTCAAGTGGGCTTACAGGGCCTACTGTCCGTGACAGCCTTGTGGTCGGTGTAACGGAAAAATTATCTGAAAATCCCTTCTGATCACCCTATCTGATAGTATTGACGTTTATTTAAGTACTTTTACCCTCGTCATGGATGGTGTGCCTTTGACCCTGGCCGGTGCAATGTTATTTGGTTGTTTGACTGTATTCTTTGACTTTGCACTCAGTATTTGATTTTTTATGGCTGAGGCTTATCATGAACGTTTCACTTTCCGATTGCGTGATGCTGGACCGTTGACAACGCGACGTTGTTTCCCTGCGCCCGACATTTCGTTTCGGTCCAACTTACGGTCGTGTTGTGATTTGACTGCCTACTGGAAGCGTTTACTCGTTGAGTTGATCCTGGCAGAGGGAGTTTTTGGTCCCCACTTGTCGAGAACATTCTTACTGACTCTCAGGTACTTAACAATTGCACTTGTTTAACCAGCCTTTACCTCATAGTGCGTGTTTGCGCCAGAGAACGTTTGGACTGTATAGTTGCTAAGTCACAACCCAATGGCACTGTTGAGGTATTTTCGTAAAGTTGATATGACTCGTTGTTGCCTTGATAGCACCACAGATTTTGTTACGAATCTACCACTGATTTGCTACAGACCGTGTTTTGACACTTTGATCCAACCTTTGACTGTGCGTCACCCGCGGAAGTTCGGAAGCTATACAGTGGAATGCAGGAACTAGTCAGATTCACGTTAGTTGGGACCGCCTAGTTATTTTTGCGCGTTCTGGCCAAGATTGTTACAGTTTGTCTATCGCAGATAGTGTACAGTCTCTTCCGGCTCCGGACATTTTCGGATCTTCTAGTTATTCAGTTGCGGAATTAACATCTGAAATGTTTTTGACTGTTATAGAAACGGTCGTCATCCGCTGCCGTGCGTGATACTTTTGATCTTGTGGTTTGCACATGAGACTCAGACCTGCCTTTTAAATGCATGGTTTTACTTAATGTCAAGCCGCTGCTTACTATTGGCCCGCCTAATAAAATTACTTTCTCGTTTTGCATACTCATGGAAGATAACTACATGAATGCATGAAGAACCCCAAGCATCCTAAATTGTTTTGGAAGGCTCCACGTTGAGGTCGTTTTTGTCCAAATGGTAAGGTTCCTCAACGCCACATAATGAACCGCGCTGGCTTCTTCATGCTGCGTGTCACAGAGTTAAAACGAAGCAAGTCGCAGCGATCTTCGCTCCGCAAGTATTAGTAAAATGAACAAAAATTATCTGCTGAAGATCTCACCAAAATCATCATCAAGCGAACAAAGCCGATGCAGTGAAGTTTAATGAAAATTCCAAAATCCTTTGAAGTCCGGGGCAAATTTCCCATTCCTCAGTATCCATATTCACACTTTGGAGATCGAAGGGTGTGAGCCCATATCAATCCTTTTCTGGTAGATTTCATCACTGGTCGTAAAAGTGAAGTCGTGTGGCTCATTTGAGGAGATTGTCAGGTCAATTTTGCGTGGTCTCATCCAAAGTGGTTCTAGGCTTAGGGTTCCGCATCTGCGATTGTAGTCGTGTGTGCAGTGGTGTCGGGGGATCCTCTTCCCTACCTGCTGTCCCCCATGTTTTGATGTCACCAAATAGGAGGACAGATTAGTGGATTCGAATGTGAATGCCATTGACGGATGGCAAAAACGGTAGTTCCCCAGGGATTACAACATAAGAAACCCTTATCCTTGCACCCATTCGGGTAGACTGGATTTTGTCTGCTTTGGTACAGGGTTCTCTGTCCTCCAGATGTGCTGTAGACCGCACTAGGCGTCGTCCAGTAATGCCAACTTTTTGCAGGTTTAGTCAGCATGGTGCAGTGTAGGACGCTGTCGAAAGCTGTAGCCAAGTCCCGAAAGATAACGTGGGCTGGTTGTCTGTTGTTCCGCCCTGTGGCTCAGTCACCCCAAGCGGTTATCATGTTTGCGACGCATAACTGTCGGGTTCTGAGGCCATTCTGCGTGGGATGGGAAATATTGTTTCCTCCTGGGTATTGCCAAACAGCATCTGCAACCAAGCTTCCCAGTATCTTGAACTGCATGGGAAGTAATGCTGTTGGTCTGTGGTCGCACTGGAATTTCGCTCCCCTGCCTCAAAGATTAGTGAAAGGATATCCCGTTTCCATTCTCCAGGGAGTTGGCTTGCTTCCAACAAGTGCGCGAACGGGTATACTTAGTATTTCGGCACAATTCCGTAGTACCACCGGTTTTGTACCATCACAGGCTAGAGATTTCCCTGTTCCCGGTGTTGAAAGTTTCGCAAACACTTGGTGTGACGGAGTCTTTACGTTCATCAGCTCAGTGTTGCGGCCCTGGAACTAAGTTAAATTACTGGATATTCGGGGGTGCATTACTGTTTTCAGCTGCTCGTCAAATCGGCCGCTCAAAAGTTCCGCTGTCTCACCACTATTCAGGGGTTTTCTGGTGGGTCCTGGGATCAGGGTTAAGCATTTATTCGTCGGTTTTTGTCTGGAGGTGGACCGACATAAGCTTTTCGGAGTGTAACTTTGCTGCTCTGCCAGGTTACTCTAAAATGCGTACCTGTCACAACAAGCTCTTATATTATATAACTTGCTTCACCGCTTGTAGCTAAGAAAATCTGATTCCTTATGTGACGCATGCCGCCGACACCATGCCTTCTTCCTCTGCATTCGTCTTCGGGTTGCGCGAGTAACCCAAGACCGCTTGAGAGGTGATCGTCTGATCAATTTCGGAGCACTCTCACCGATAGCGCCTCGGGTGGTACCTTTGATATTTATCTGGTGTTCGTCTATCGATAGTGAGTGCCATCCTTGTGACCATGCGGCCTTCAGAAGTTTGCTGCTCATGAGCTGGCAATCTGCCTCTCGGCAACAGCTGAATGTTTCTGGTTCAGCCATTGGTAGTTTTGCCTTGGTTATCGGGGGGGGGGGCTGTCACCAAAGTGCGATTGCTTTTGTCTGGGGGGTTTGACACAGATATCCTCTATCAAAAAATCATCGCCTGTTAGGACATGGTCAAGTTGCGATGTCTTTTCCTGTGGTCCCCATCGGGTGTTTTCTCCAAACTTTCTATATTAGTCCTGCTGCTATAAATGTGTTCCACAGCCTGTTTAGAAGATTCATACCTACTGCCTACTTCGCATCCCGGGTCAAGCGCCGGTGCGCTAGGGTCTTTAGCGAGGACTACATGGCCACAGGCTGCCAAGGCGGTTGCTCAAATCACAGCGAGCAATTATGCCTTATACTCTGCTGTGCACAGGGGGGCCCTGTATGCCACTCCTAATAGTACTTTGTTTGAGTTATAGTTGAACAGCCCCATAAGGAGTCTGGTGATTGGCTAAACACATTATTGGTCGCCTCCCTGACTTCCAGGTGCGTGTCAGTGCCCGTGGCCACCCCCTCCCCGCCCCGCTTTCTTTAAACTGCCCTTCCTTTCGGAGCAGGGTCCTGTTGGATCAAGGTATTCCCTGGTCAAAGATGTGTGATGACAACCATATCCTCATGAACAAGATTATATTTGCTTGCGGATAACAGCACACTTATCTTATCCCCAGTGGTTTACTTCTGAGACCTCTTATATCGCAGCAGAAGCATTTCAGGAAGCTACATTCTTGGTGTAGTGCGGCATCGGAACCTATGAAGGGGTTAGTGAGCTGTCGCATCGGATTCTGGCAGCTAGTCCCTACTGGACTGACAAGTCTCCGTTTTTTGGTTCCTCCTGACATCCTGGTATTGCTGTGACGGAAGCTCGGGTCACTATATCTAGAAGCATTAGTTCACTGAATGGTTCTTTTGTAACTAGTACCGTCTGTAGCGTTCTTCGAGGTTTCCTTCTATCTTCTGGTGTAGTGTACCGTACTTCATTTCCATAGCATCATGTAACACCTCCTATTTGATCCTCAACACCATGTCATGGTGTAAGAGTCTCTGTCAGCAGTGCCTTGGAGTCGGAGCAGACAGCTGGCAGCCACCGTGAAGAGATGCCCCGAGGTCAAGTAGATGTTAGTGATCTACTTAAGCTGCTGGAAGGCAAATTTTCCAGTCCCATTTCCGCGGCTGGTCTTCTCCCTGCCCGACATCATGGAAGTGATGACTGTACTTCGTGGATGTGACCACCAGTCAAAGTATTCTGCGCATAACTATGGTTGCAGCTGCGTACAGACTAGTGAGTGCGTACTTTCTCCCCGCCTCTCTACCTACCGATGGCTTACAAGGACCCACTCTTATGACACAGGAGCCTGTGACAGCAGTAGTGTGTCCTCCGACTGCCTCGCTATCGCCCGTGACACCAGTAGAGGTAGTGGCCTATCTGGAGGTTCCCTACTGCCTCCACAGAGCCGGTACAATCTGACTTTAACAGGTTCTACTCGTAGCTTCTTCCGACATTCACCCCATAACTCCTTGTCAGATTGCTCCCCTCTTTCTAAGAGTGGATCTGTTGGTTTGGAAGTGGTGTCAGAGGTAGTACTTGGCAATATCCTGGTTTGTACCAGGTTCCGTAGTTAGCCAGTGGCATTACTGGCGTTTTGAACATATATACTATGTCCACTTACATGGGCGCTTCGCCATAATAATAATAATAATAATAATAATAATAATATATTTCATGCAACAAAGGTTACATGAATACAAACCAGTTTAGGCTGCGGTATTGGCCTGATATACCGTTATCACGGTTGCAGTGATCCCGTTTTAGAGAGATTTTGCACACGAGGATTTCTTAGTCCTCGGACAGCGGTGTATTGCGAACACCACAGTTGATAGAGGTGTGCTGTTTGTTCACAGCTATATGGTTTGAGGTTGACTGTGGCGTATATCGGTATACTTGCTTGTTGGGATATGCGCTGTTCCCGTTTTTCGTTTTTTTCTAACGGGTTGTTTTGAAGCAAATCATTATAACTCTGACCTCACGAGTTTACCGGTCTTGAGAAATGTTCTGTCCGATGTAACAGTGATACTAGGATCCTATAAGCTGTGGGCTTCATCATGCTTATGTCCGCTTCACAGGCCAGTTTCTGTCCGACTACCGGCTTGTAACCTGGTTTCAGTAGCGTCACGGTTAATTGGTGCAAAATAAATAAATAATATCAAGGACAAGGAGTAGGAAGCAAATGGGGGATAGCCTACCCCCAGGGACTTGATACTCGGTCTTCCTCACTCTATGAGTAACTTTAACGGAATACTCTAAGTGTATACGTATAGACCAATAAAGGTGTTTCTTGGTGAATAAACTTTGAAAAGAGCCAAGAACTATAGCAGTTGGATAGTTCAGATGACTACAAATCACGGAAAGGAAGTAATTCCGAGTTTGGAAGATGTTTGCGTCTTTATAAGTAGAAATGGTGACGTCTGGTTCACTAAGCGAATTGCGTTCACTGTAACGATATAGTTGAAAGCTGTTTTCCGGTGATAACCACCACAGTACTGCCTTTGGACTGGAGATTAACGGAACACAACGTTATTTGAACTGAGCGTTGTATATATACATATATATATATATGTAATCAGTTAAATGTAGAGGCTATGGACGTTGCCTGATATAGTATTCTAAACCAACTGCTTACAGATCAGCTTATGCGAAAGACAGACTTGGACGATCGTTAAAGATGACCGAAATGATACCTCACTTGGAGTTTGGGACTATGCTGTTCTTCCTGTTTGTATAGAAAAACAAAATAAACCGAGGAGGCAGCCACATGCTGCTAACCAATCCTTTCGGAGGATTTTTGCCTAAAGTGTGAGATTCAAGAGTGGTGGTCCTTGATCTGCATCTACTGGAACATAGAAGACTAAGCGGAGACTTGATAATGGCATAAAATATCCAAGACACCCACTGTGTCACTTCACTTACATGTGGTGCCATAAGTGAAAAACTGTTTCATTTATTGCCTATTCCACACCTTCCACTTGAAACTTACCAGCGGATAATATAAGAAAGGCGGCTCGCGCGCATTCTGTCATAGTTGTGGTCATCATCTCGGGATCACCTGCAGTTCACCTGTTTTGAATTGTGGAAGTTACTATCTCACCTGATATTTAAATTGCTTAATTCTTTGAAAAATCTCACAAGGTTAGAGATTAATAGTCTTTCTTTTTATAAGTAAAATGTGACATCGGAATCACTTCCGTTTTCCGTGACAAGTCTTGAGAACGCACCACTGAAAAAAGTATTCACTAGATTCTTTTGAGAAAATATTTCGGCGATAATTTGAGAATTTTGATTAGACATAGACCAACCAACTGAAAGTTTCAGTGATCTCCAGAAATCTACCGATTTTACGATAGTAAGAGAATCTGATTCCTCTTCCCATATCTTGAATGTGGTGTTGAGTAGGAGAGATTGAAGTTAGTTCCAAAGGTCGAATCATTAAGAGACTATCATATTTTACCTGTATATCAGCCGGACAATTTTAAGTGCAACTAACTGAAGTAATAAATAATACTGCAAATATTTAACTTAGTAATAAAGTCGTTGAAAAGAAACCAATTGGTAAAAATGGCTTTAGACTGTTTTTACTCTTTTACTAACCGACTGGTCTCCTCTCTTCTTTCTAGATTATCGGGCTGGCTGGGTAACTCACTACCAAAATTGCATACGCTCTTCTTAACCATCCTACTTCCATGTTATATGAAAACCAACCAGTAGCTGGTTGTTGCAACAGGCGGTATCAAGAGAGTATGAATGCATCACCACAACGTGCTGTAGAGTCTTCAGTCTCCGGAAAGTGCATTCCGAAGTTCAACTTGTTTTGTTTCCTATTGTAATATCCGTTGGAAATCAGATGTGTAAATTTTCATCGATAAATCCAAAGCGAATCATGATATTGTTACCCTTCGCAGGTTTATTTTGAAATATCCATACTATATTAACAGTTTGTACACTCCGAAAAATGCTATGCGTCTTTTCAAACACCACCTATTCCCTGAAGAGTTGCATGCACACCGAGAATGTATCGTAATATCGTAACACACGCAGACTCATTTATACCATTCCATTCATCAATGCGTCTTAAAACTAACTTGACAAATTTCCCATCACAACACAGTAGTGAATATCTGTCTATTTACTTAAAAAAAACAGCATCCTTTATGCTGATTTTGGGAAGAAATGCTCGTACGCAGTCTTGAGTTATAGTTGTTATTTATGAAACCAGAAATAGCGCCTAAACTGTCAATGAAAAAGCCCCCTATATTACTTGCATATCCTAGTGATCAAGATGCTTTTCGATTCTCAGCTCCCAGGTTCAATCCCTGGAAAAATTAATAAGTGGATCATATAAAGTTTGGAGGCTCTAAACTCTTTCAGAGTACTTTCATTTCCTTCAACAATAATTTGTATGCGATAGTAATATACTTATTACTACAGCAAGAATCTCTTAGTTACAGGTAATTTATGAACATGACAGTAATTGCGTAGTGTTAATATGTTAACTGAGCCTTGGTCTGAAACTTGTATGCACACTCCATACCTGCGTAATAAAGGGTAGAATATAACTCATATTTTAAGAAAATACGGCACTGTTTGCTGCTAAGACATGAGACTTGGTCGCATTCAGTATTTTTTAAAATGAATCCTAAAGGCTTTAGACTCTTTATTTGTTTCTTTACAGTTCTGAGAAAAACTGAACACTTCAAAATCTTTAGTTTTTCAGTGATATATTTCAACTTCCACATCAATTTTTTGGTTTAGTTATCCTGTCTTTCCACAGTGTTCCCTGTTCTCCATGACTTTTTACTTTCAATAGTTATTCAAATTGCAAGTCATAAATTATTTCGTCTTCGAACTCGTCGCTGACTAGCTTGAACTATTTCTCCACTGAAGAGCTTATCACATTTGCAAATGGATGCATTACATAAGGGTTGGATCGTTGTCTCTTTCCCATGTGTTCCTCTGTGACTATTTACCTTCACCACAATAAATGTCTTTCAAAATTCAGTCTTCTGTTATTGGTTTTATTTCCGACTGTTAACATTTTACTTTGTTTCACAGTATTCAACGAAGTATACACATAAGCTAGGTAAGTATCTGATATATATATATATATATATATATATATATATATATATATATATATATACCGCTTTTTAGTTTTGGCAAATTTCTAGAAAGTTATTGGTTTAGGTGTTTTCGACAGTGTGCTTTTTTCAGAATATTTGTTGATTTTTGCAGATTTGTGTTTCAATGTAGTGATGTTCACTCTCCGCTCTTACCATTTTCGCATTCTTCCTTTCTCTCTTTTAGTACTTGATATTTCTTCTGACTGAAATTTCTTTTCTTCGTCTTCCACTTCACTGCCTTTTTACTAGATGTACTTATGAGTTGTGACAACTCGGACCGTTACGCAGCAATGCCTGGTCCTATGTTGATGAATGATGATCACTCTCCGCTTTTCAGTTGGTACTGTCTAGATTTTCCCAGGATTCGGTTATTGTCTAACTTTCGGGAACCATTTCCTGAGAAACAACTAATTACATCAATGCACAGCAGTTGCTGTGTACATCGAGTTATAGTTCCTTTTTAACCCCTCTAAATAAGGCATTAACTGAAGAGTATTACTGTATACTACAGATAATCTTGAACTAATACTGATAAGGTGCCAAGGTGTCGAAACACTAAAAATATGTCCACATTCAGGAAAGTGTAAGACATTATAAATAAGTTTCTACAGGACAGTAGTCATCTACCGTACATGTTGCAGAAAATAATTCGTAATGGGTTTGCCGTTGAGAAGTATTCTGAGCCATTTCTGACAACATAGTTACCTAGAGTAAAATATCTACAAGCTTTTGATGCCGAAACTTGTTTTTTTCTGGAGAAAAGGTGTCATAATTTATAGGGGAAGCATATATGAGTAATGGTCGGTAACTGAGTGATCATTTAGCGAGGGACTATAAAGCTTTTTTTCCCATAAATTGTCTTTCCTTCTAGTTTAGAATCAAACTATAAACGTATTTGTTTTTGTTTCGGACTCAGTCATATTCGACAGTTTTGTCGACCGATAAGTTGCACAGTCTTTTGAGTTCCACGTATGGCATCTTGTTTCTAAGTGTTATTAGCTGGCATATTTCTTTCTGTTCCCTCTTATCATGAAGTAATCCCCACCAGTTTTCCCATCGACATTAATTGGTAAGGCTGGACACGAAACTCATTTGAAGGTCATCAGCAAAGCGTATATGAGGCATGAGAACTAGTGTGGTTGATTTGTTCGCTGGCTGGTTTTTAACTGTTCGTGTAGTTTCTAAACAACTTTCAGCTAGTGGGTCGGACGTTCGAAGACTGCCCTGCTTACCAACTCAGAAATAGCTTGTGGCTTAGTATATAAACTTGTACGTAGCTGTTGAGCACGTGTATCGTATTTCCTTCCCTAAGTGAATGGCAATATGCTGTGATTCGAATGATAAAATCTTCCCGTTGTACTTGCGAAACATCATTTCCATATAAATGACAACTAAAGGCTTTTAAACACTTGAACTTAGAGAGTGTCTCATGAACACAGAGTAGGTGGCTGCATCAGAATTACGTTGTAGTGATGGAAACTAGCATAGTTTGGTACTGTATGTTAAGAGCAAGTCACTTTCGTTCGTTTTACTCTAACTTGTGCCTAGGTACTAAGTTTCGAGCTTTTCTCATGGTATCACCACCTATGTTGAGAATGGACGTTAATTCTGCACCTGATAGATGAAGAGCAAAAACTAGTTTTAAGTAATGACTGCTAACTAGTTCACTGGAATCAACGTACTCTTCCTACTGGTGTACGGTAAGATGAATTTATCTTTATCCTCGAAATAACCCTAATTCGTTCCTAAAAGTTGATCATACAACTACACTACAACCAAGTTGTGTTTCATATCCTCGTTTGTCTTCCAGAAGCTTTAGTGAAATCCGAACCTAGGACTCGTTTTATCAACAAATGCTTAAACTTGAGTAGCGGTTGACAGGTATGACGTGCTCAACTCAGTCTTAATAGAATCTCTGCTTATTGGTAGGACCTGTGACCGCCAACCACTGGTCCATAGGTTCAGATGCCACTGGATTTTGTTCATTGGTAGTGTTATGAGCTCTTACACCACGTATCCGGCCTACTGCTTTGCATACATGTCTGTATGGGATTTCTGACTTCCACTCTCCCTCTGATTGTATCTCGTTTATCTTTGTTCTTAAGGTGAGATGAGTCGTGGAAGTTACAGTTCAAATGTTTATCTGAGCACTCCAAAGCATGGATTATTATTCTAGTTGTGTGGCAGGAGGTAGATTATTGTAATTTTTACAATGCACTGTTCTAAATTAGTTTTCAATACACATGGTTTAACTTATGTTTATTTTACCACAGCGCATAAGGAAGGGATTTGGTGTTGTACATGGGGTGAAAACCAATACCGAAATAAGCAGTACATTATTACTGGTTCTTTGGATAATAGTCTAATTGCTTGGGAATGGTATGTGATTTTTCTAGTCCACAAGTGAATTCAAAGTTGACATTTAAAACCTTTACATTTTCATAATGTACAGTTATTTCTTACGTGTGATAAATAACTTTTTATATGTTATATTCCTGAGTTAACCGTATCATCAATTCAGTATGACTTTGTCTGGTTCCAACTGTCTTAAGCACTTGGTTCTGTCAATTCACTCTTAACACTGACCCTGCACGTGATTGGTCTCCCACATACTTGCCATTCTCGTATACGTAATACACACCAATGTTAAGTCATGCAACTCTGCCCTCAGTTGTGTACAAAACACGAATTTTGGTGCTTATTTTCCGTATTTTTCAGGCAGTTTAATTCATCTGTGTATAAAGCCAAATTACCAGACCACAATGCACCATAAATTATAAACATGAGAAAACTTATTTACGGCATAAAATCTGAGGTAACGCACAATGATGGATTTCATTCAACATGCAATTACTTGCGAACTATAAGTCATACCTAAATAGATAAGGAGTCAGTCAAAAGCTCTTGAACCGAGCTATAGAGTAATGTTATCAATTAGTGGCTTTTAGAGTAAATAACATATGACTATTGACACTTATCTGAGGTTCATATTTTCAAGTTCTTGTCTGCTAAAACAGTATCTATCTTATGAAACTTAGAGTACACAAGCTGGTCACTGGTAAGTAACTGATGTAACTGTCCGATTTCTAGTGCTCAGCACTGATATTTTTTTAGTGACTGTATTATAAACCTGATGGATGGACCTCTATGGTTAACACCAAAGATTAAATAGTTACACTGGTTATCTACTAATGACCAATTCGTGTACGTAATGCGGCCTTGCAGAAAGTCAGCCGTAGTTAATTCTCTGGCTTAAGTGATGAATGATGCAGATTTGAATCATCGAAAAATTAAAAGTTTTTTCATGGTTTCAGATAGGTCTTGCCCATGAGTACCATAAAGTACAAAACCTAGGTGCAGGGCTTGACTCCCAACATCTGAAACACCTCAGTACAGTTAGGTCTTGCTCAATTATTCTACTTTCATCTAAACCCAAATACTGAAGACAATAATCACAAGTGGTAAATATGACAAAAATAAGGTGAAGCAACAAACATGTTTAGTCGTTAGTCCTTACAATCCTCCTCCAAAAATTAGTGTATCATCTTGTCTAGATAACAATACCAATTTTTAGTATTACGATTCAAATACACCACCTACTTCAGCCTGTCAGAAACGAGTAGTGTTATAAGTCTTTACATGTTAGGTATAAATCTTCACATGGTGTGAAAGCATGTATAAGACTGATAAATCTTCTTCTAAGTCCCTAAGGGTTAGGCAAACAGTTCCATTTGGTTTGCAGTTATTTTATCAGTATTAAGTCAACGAACAATAAGCACACTTTCTATCGAAACCAATTGTTGTTTTCCTCCCTCCAGCTGAACCTTATTTTATGAACGTAAGGCACGTGGTATTTATAATATAATAATCGCTTTATTCTAAATAGCGTGTGTGATACACTATGGAATTTTCAGCTGGCAATACTTCAGTGAATACACTCTCCGTACAATATTTTTAAAAGAAATAATTTTTGCATCTGAACGTCTGAATAGTTAAAAATAATAGAATTAAAGGCAATGGTTTGAAACCGATAGCTGGTATTACGTTGGCGTCTATTCCGCACTTGGGAATAAATACAAAATTGAATGCAATCACTGTGGTGTTAGTTCAGTCAGCCAGTAAAAAAAAATTGTTTTTAAGCATGTATCCATTTCTATCCTTCATAACGTCACTCCGATGTTCCGTTTCAGCTTAACAAACGACAGTTTGAAAACATTTTTAAAATGTACAAGAGTACATGATGCATTTCGAAGACATATTTAAGAAATTAAAACAAATAGAAAGGAAGCAATTTGATGAAATTTATCCAGAGGAAAAATTTATGGTACTCTATGGTTTAAGCAGGTCGCCTTCATTAATTGGAGAGCAATCAATCACATGTTTATAGACATATAATATGTAAATGATAGGTTGGGTTCAAAATCTACTTCAATCCTCAAATAGAAAGATTGGTACGGCGAATGAAGTAATTTGTGAGAAAAGTTTTAGATTTTCGTATTGGTAATTTGTAAAAAGTCATGCGTTTTAGCACACTGTTACTTAAAACTTAGTTACATTCTACAATTATGTTATATATATATATATATATATATATATATATATATATATATATATATATATATATATATTCCATTTGCCACTTGTTTTATGTATCCAAGGGGGGTATTACTCATAAATTTTGTTTCAGCGATAAGAATTCGTTCCCAGTTATCTAAAGCTGATTTTCAGCACGTTGACCAGTAGAACAATAATGTAATCGATATTAAAACATCTGACTAGTAGTATATGCATGAGTCGGATTTCTTATTTTTCCAATTTTAATTTTATAGAATTGTATTTTGAAATAAATTATGAACACTTCCAATTTTTAACTTCCTAAATAGTTACAGTATGTGCTAAATGGCTAATATGCTAACATACGTAACACCGTTATTGATTTTGCATAAATTGCTCCTTTTAACTTCAGTATTTTCGTTTCTCAATAAAATTACTCTAAAATCCCGCAACTCCGTCCCACTTAGTTGGAATCATCATCTCAGACTGCAAACCTTACAAACATTAGGCTTGATTCCATACATTTCCAGTTCGTTTGTTATTTAGCACTTCTTTTCCTGTTTGATTTTCGTTTACTTGTTAAGATGGTAGTCGCCTTACGTCTAATTATTACAGGCTTGGTTTTTCTTCGAGTTTTGTGAATGTTAATAGCAATGGTATTGGTGAACAAAAACTGCAATAAAAGCCTTTAAAACAATCCCAGTTATTCAACATATTCTTAAACTCAGGTATATAAATCGACTCATTCTAGAAAACCATATTGTGTCTAGAATTCCATAACGAGTCATTGCCTCTGCCCAAAGACTGAATAAGGAGGGAATACTGATTTCTTTCCTAAATATGACGTCCTTAATGAAATCGCACTTAGATGATCGTTGGAGGCTTTACCAGTAACGTTTGTAGTGGCATATTACTGAAGAAACATTGACAACGATAACCTCAAAAATAATCTCAGTTGGTAGAGCTGAAAACCCGGTAGTCGCTGGTTCGAATGCTGCCGCAGCCCAAATTTTCATCTCGCTTTCAATTGTCACCCAGTATCAATATAGTATATTGAAATTTCGTCTGTTATTTCGGTAGCAAAATCTAAATTAGGAACGCTAAATCGCTATCCCATCGCTTGTTGCGCAGTTGGTGGAGTAGGATTAGAGTTCTTCATCATCACAGCAACTTAGGCAATTTTCTCATATTTTTCGTTGGCTTGAACTTGTCATCAGATGATAATCACTGTAGCTGACGAGTTCTAGTTAGTTATCAAAGCCTATCGATCTGTAGTTTGAGTATATTCCGATCTATATATCTACCATCTGAATCAACTTTTAATTTGCTTCCTCGTCTGTTTTATTCTTATTCAAGGACGAATGACCGGCTGAAATCTCTGTATCGATTCGAAGGACATAGACTCGGTGTGATATCAGTGGATATAAATTCTACGGGCACATTGGCAGCATCCAGCAGTTTGGATAGCCAAGTCAGTTAGTATTCCTTTTTGTCCTAAATTTTGTCACTAAAATATAGGGTTGGTAGACGAAAAGTTGATCAAGGTGTGATTTTTTTATTATTCCTAAAACCAGTAGTGTTTATCTTGAGAAACTATATCTAAGAAAGCATACTAAATAGATACAAATAACATTACGAAGGAATCGTCAAATTGATTGATATTTTTGCCAAGGAAAAATGTTTACAAGGAAATCACTGGGAAATGTTGATAGACGAGGATTTGACGAAGTATTTATAGGATCCATTCGGCAGAAGTGTTCACACAAAAGTGAAGAGAAAAGGCTCAATGTTTAGCTCTTATCCCTAGATTGATGAATACAGATTCTCTACTTTTAGTTGATGTGGTTCTAAACCAGACTTCATTGAAAAACTACAGTTAGTGACGGTAAAAAATACTAAACTTTACGATCAACTAACACTTGCAAGAATTCTTCATTATCTCTGCACACAGTATTCTTGTCTTCAAATTTCGCTGGATATTGTCTTCTTCCATCCTAAACCTCCACTAGTTGATCACTATCACTTGTATCTTCCGATCATGCACTACATACGATTATTATATATTCTAATAAGTAGCATCCAATATATAGTATATCGAATTGGAATAATGTAAAAGAGAAAGCTTAATTATTAGTACTGTTCTGGTAGATCACACCTATGAACTAGCAAAAACTCCATGAATGTCTGTTTGCTTATTGTAAATGGTCAAATTAAACATGAAACCTGGTGGTTTCTCGTCACATTATGGTGAAAAAGACGTGTAATTAGGGTTATTACGCACTTGTACTTTCCATGTAGTATTTATTTCACACCTGTTATTGTTACTTACATTCGAGATATATTGAGCTTTACGTCATCTGTTAATCTTTAAATACTTATGAGAAGAAAGCGAGTGGACCTTACGTTGTCTTTTTATTTTTTTTTGGCATAATTTTTTGTGCTCTGAATATGTGCTTTCTCAGGTTATAAGTAGCCAAGTTTGATGCATTTATCTGAGAGCTAAATGAAGGATAATTTCAGTTGGTCTGTTTGCACAACGAGTTTATATCCTTTATTAGGACCAAAATAAATTCATCACTTAAGTTCGTATTTCGTTACCTAGTAAAGCTGTTAATCTGAATCACTACACAATAAATTTTGTTCATCTTCATCAAAAATCCTGCATAGTTTATTTTCCATCTGTCGTTTATCCTTTTCTAATTTCCTGTTCCATATCTGTGAAATACGATGTTGCTAACTGCTGTTTTTTACATTCGACATTTTCAGATTAGCGCATTATTTCATTTAGCTAATTATAATATTTATTATCATTATTATTAGTTATATTGTTTGCGTCCTGGTGCAAAGAAATCTTGAAAAATAATTATGTAATATGTTAATTATCATTTTCATCTTTCAATAGATTTTATTATGGGATCTTGAAACAGGAACACTAACTAAAACTTATGATGGTGATCCAGCCGATACATGGACTGTAGCCTTTTCACCTGACTCCCGTTTCTTAGCTACAGGAAGTCACACAGGATGTGTTAATATGATCAATGTACAAACTGCAGAAAAAGAAAGTTCAATTCAGTTAGAGGGAAAATTTGTGTACAGCCTTGCTTACGTAAGTCCCTTTGTTATGTTGTTCCATTAATTATGGTCCACTGTGGATAATTTGGCTGCGATATCTTCACCACTAACAAATTTGGACTACTTCTAACGGTTCACCTCCAATGTTATAAAAGCTCATACCATGCTTAAGGTCTGTTATCGTCTTTATACTTAGATGGGATTTGATTTGCCCTATATTAATTTATTGCATGACATTATAGTTCACATACTCGTTAATCCTCTAAGTAACAATTTTTTTGATCAATAATAACTTTATTCCAAACCGTATGTTTGATACAGTACAAAATTCTTAGCATGGAATAAATTAACAATTATTATTATTATACGAAATTTCATTGGCAGCTCTCACATTGACCATACACCACAACTCTTTCTGGAATATAATTGGTGGTAAAGTTGAAATGGAATTAAAAGTTACGCGACTCTATTTAATCCCACTGTTTATTTAAAACAATGAGGAAGGTTTACATGAAATATCATCAAAACTTCATTGAATAGTATCGCAAATTTTGGGTGCCGACTAAATGGTTGCCATCACACATACTTTGTATTTGCGTAAATCACAGATGCCAAAATATCGGTCGGTGGGGCTGGATGCGAACCCTCAACCCAGTGGTTGGAAGTCAAGTGCCTAGACCAATCAATAAGCCACAGCCGCAATTAGCAAGGCTATATGTACTGAAGACTAACAATTAGTGGATTTCATGGAATTCTAGACGTTACAACTATCTTCTACTGGTTCAACAGAATCGCTACAGAAACATCAACTAGAAAATGCCCCATTAAAATATTGAAAGCCCCACGAGAAACAATATGGATAGAGTGAAGATACGCAACTACTTTCTTCATTGACGCTAGATATAGCTCGGATTTCTATTAGTCACACAATGCTTGAAATGAAATAATTCCGACATTTCACACGGAAGTGTCTGGTCCGAGCTTCTTCTAGGAAATAATAAAATTGAAATATCAAGGATATATTAATGGATCCAAAGACGAGTATTAAATCTCCTTGTCCAGTCCTCTTCGTATAGTCATTGTCTCTCTAAAATATGAAATTGTATGCCTCTTGTTAGTGTGTGTGAGTGTGTCTAATACTATTCACATTCTCCTTGATTGTAAATAAGAGACAATTAGACCAAAGGTAACATTGTAGTCATTCGGTGATTTTGATAAGTACAATTCGGCATATGCGGTGGATATGTATATCAGTTCGCTGGGTGTATAGGCGTGAACAGCAATAACGAATTTTCCAGTGATTTGCCGGAATAGAGCGGAGATGAATGATATTGATGGTGACGACGATAATAATAATGAATCAAATCAATCCACATTGTATTTTGTTGCTGGTGCAGAAATAATAAAGGTGAGACTGGTGTTGAAAGTAAATGGTACAGTCACCCCTTCTGCCTATGAATTGTTAATTGCTGAGATGCAGTTAAGTGTACTTCATCTCATCTGTTCAAACTGCCTGGATTCGCCCTCATATGTAAGGCTTCGGCCATCAATATTTTTTGATATGACCCAAAACTTATTTGTAGGACTCTGGTCCTGTCAAAGCCAATCTAGTGACCCATTCCTATGGAGTGTAGCGCAATTACCGGTTTGTTTCCTACCTTCTTAACGTCTGCTCAGGTTTTTGAAATCTGCTTTAGGCATAGCCTATGCTCCTTCACTCTTTCACTTACCTGCCTGACTGTCTCCCCCACATATACTGCAGTACAATCTGCGCATTTGATTTCATAAACACAGTTCTGTTAATTTTCTTTAGATACTACATCCTTAACTTTCATTAAGTTAGAGTGTAGGGTATTTGTTGCACGAAACTTATTTGTTCCGAGGTCTCCTTACAATATGAGTTTATCACTGTGTTTGTCCAGTTCTTTGGAAGGGGTTTCGGCACATCCTTAGTTTCATTTTTAAAAATTCTTTTCACAAAATCCTTGGAATAATTTTCTGCTTCCAGTGTATGGCAAACTAACTCCAACTCTTGCTCTTTACCCTCTTTCGCTGCAACGAGACGGTTAACCCTGTTGATCGGACTCCGTGCAACTGTTACTTTAGTGGTTAAAGAATGCACAAACTGATAATCCAAGTATCTGTCAGAATGTGTTGTGTTCCACGTATTTATACATTTGAATTGAAAATCACAATATAATGCATTACAAACACTCAGCGAAGGCATTTAGGCTGAGAAGTAAGTACGATACTCTACAATGACCGTTTCCAACAGCAACGCAACAATGGTTAACAAGTAATGCCAAAATGATAATTATGAGGAATGATTTATGTGTCAGACGTAAGGCATCAAAATATGGTAACGTTCTGTGTATTCTTTTCTTCTCACCTCTTCTTAACAATGTCCACTGGTGACCTTCCCAAGTTGGATATCTTTCTAGGAAATGTTTCTCTCTTGTTGCTAAGGCATCATTGTTGTTGATTTCATAATCTTGAACAATTCTTCCCTACTACATTTGATATTTTTCTTCAAAGTAAAACAAACATACAGTAAGCACCACCCTGCCTCAATCTATAATAAGTTAACTACCTCTTTGAGTTAAACACTTCCTTTAGCGCAGTCTAATTAAACTTACTTTTTATTCATAGAAAGTTTCAATAATGCTTAGAGAATAGTTTTGATCAAACACAGCATTATTATACCTGCTATCTCTCGTCGATGTAATAGGAGGGCACATTGTTACAATGTGTGTAAAAAATTAAAGAATTCATAATATGGTAATTGTTTCACGCTACATTGAACCACACAAGTTTTCATGGACTGAAAGTTGACGAAAAGAATTAATTGTCAAGCTTAAGATTCATTACTCATTATGTTGACTGATCACGCTTTCAATCTATTCAACATGTGAGACCACCATGTTCTATTTGAAACCCAAAAAAATTTAGTTGATTGATGATGATTTTATTTACTATTAAGGTGTACTACTTCCTTCGGTTTCATATTACACGGTGATACGTGTAGATAGGTAAATAATACTGTGTGATATCAAATATAAAAAATCTAATATGGGATTATATTCTACCGCAGTGTTTTTTTCTTCAAAGCATCAGTGCGCTGACAAATATTTCTTTAAAGATAGATGTCAATGAAAAGTTTGTGCATTGTGGAATGGATTAATGTATTATAAATAAATTTTTAACTCAAAGTTTACACACAATGATAAGTTCTTATTTTAGTAATATTTCGAACAAAATTACTACCTGTGATCACACAAACAATTGGAATATTTTAGCAATATTTATTCACACATTAACCCGTTGGTATCTTATATAGCCTCTGCTCATTGCTAGTTAATCTGTTTATTAAGCTTCCTTTCCATTTGTTTTTGTTGATAGTGTTGTTGCAATCGATGTTATGTTTTTCGTCTCATGCATGAACTGCTATCGATAAACTTTTCCAAATTTATGTATTTTTGTCCCTTTATGGACTGACTTTTGGTCAATCTTTATTGTTCATTTAATCTGGTTTTCAACGATCTTAATGTTTGTCCTACACATAACTCATTGGGCAGTTTGGACACGGTATTTTATGTACTACATTGTTCTTGTCCAATTTTTTAACCGGATCTTTAAGTTGCTTCAATTTATTTTCTTATCAAATTCATTGGTTTAACTGTTGTCAAAATACTAGCCTTCCTAAGGTTTCTTCGAATTGCCTCTGATGTACCTTTTTTGTATGGTCATACCACTGACTTCTTATACTTGTCTTTTTGGTAACTCCTGTTGTTGACTTTTATTTCTTCTTGATATTATCTTTTATGAATTGCTCTGGGCGTTGATTCTGTAATAACATTTTGAATAAGATATTTATTTCTTTTCGTTGGTTATCAGGGCATGTTGTCAGTCTACGTATTCTGTTTTTGTGTGTAAACTTTGCACTAAAAATTTACTTATGATACATTAAACATGTCTTTCTTAGTTATATTACGTTCTCACTTTTCAATATGCAATACAGTACTATATGGGCCAACCAAATTACGCAATATTGTTTTTTTCACACATGAATCTTCGTTACGTAATCTAGAGTTCTGATGGGTCTAAACTGGCTGCTGGCACAATTAATGGACTTGTTAGTATTTGTGACTTGAAAACTGGGAATGTTCAATTTTTAGATGGGCATGCTACACCTGTACGATCAGTTTCTTTTTCACCTGATGGACATCTACTAGCTTCAGCATCAGATGATAAACAGATCAAGGTTTTTGACATGTAAGTTTTTTTTCAAAGAAATATTCTTTCATGTAATGTCATACACATAGGGATGGTTATCGTGTCTGCTGAACTATTTCTATCATGTTGAATATGGTTCGGTGTTCTCTTGGCTTTATTTTACCGTGAATGTTTCACCACTAAGCTTGGTGATATCCTCAGCACTAACTTCATAAGGAAGTGAAGTATATTCGAATGTTAAGGTAGTGTTTTTGCTGACCTAAACATCTTTTCTATTATTTTGACCATGTTCCGTTCCATTTATAGAGATTTGATATATTCGACCACTTGAATTATTCATCTTATTTCTGAATTCATTCAGTTTTCGTATTCTTCATTTCTGCTTTTAAGAAAATTGAAAGATTAATCCTCTTTACTTAAACATCTTAGTCTTTTTAAGTCACTCAGCAATCGGTAGCTATTACTTTTGATCATCAATGACAACCGTAGTTTCTCGACAATTTTTATCACTTGAATTTGTACTGTAAACCATATTTGTGAGTATTCAATGTTCGTAACGTCTATCGAATCGGTTAATAGGCCTTACTGGGCTGAGTTGAAAAACTTTAGGTCATTAGTTTGTCCTTTATTTCTTAGATACTTCCTAAAAAGTCAAGTGTAGTCTTTTAAAAAAGTGACTTCACTGCCGGAATAAGTAATCTTAGCCAGTAGAAATACTCCTGGAAAACCGTAGTTTTACTATCTGCACCAAAAGTTTCATACTGTTCTCAATACACTTAAATTTTAGCCTTATCTAATTAGTGTGATCTGCAACCTAGTTCATAAATTTCCAAGTGATTACTAAGTTGCACTTCATAATTAAGGCTCACGAGAACCTAACAACTATCTTCCCCCTACTTAATCAATAACTCTTCTTTACTATTCCATTTTGGATATGTAATTCTAACTGATTTATTTATATTTCTCTAGTTATGTCCTTTTATTTCTCTTTTACTTTAACTGAAGATGTACAAGGTTTTATTGAATGACCAACTGAGATTAGTCTTAGTTTCAAAGTAAATAGTGGTACACCATTTGGTCAGATTATAAACATACTCTGAATAAAATTATTGGGGATACCTTTCACTTTATTGACTAAAGCATGAGTAGAATAGCCTAAACAAGACATGGTGTTATTCTATTGTTGTTTAAAACGATGTAAGGAAATGTAGGCCATCTAACTATAAAGCCAGCACGATTTTAAAAGTTGGTGGTTGGGACGGTTAGATGCACTTGGTTTCCACTTTATTGTAGAAGACGAACCGTCTTATTCACTTATGTTCTACTTCACTTTTTTCTGTTATTTATACTCCACTTGTTGGTTATGTCCTCTATAATGTTAAACAGTACAACTATTTGAACAGATGCAGTATTTTACTATACTATACATCAGTGTATTCATTTATCCGATGTAAAATCGATGATGTAAGAAAACTTTTTTCACTCATTTATTTTTTAGGAACTTGCTTATTAAAGTAAAAGAGATGGGTTTCGTAATGACTCAATAACATGTTTATTTTTCGGTTATGTAACTAAAAAACTGTCTTTATTACACTTTTTTGAATGTATGAAACGGATAATTTAGGATTTAGTGAGTTTTTAGTAATGACTACTATCTATTGTCTATTATGTGTTCTTGTATCCACTACAAGTTCATCTTCTAAAACAAAACGGTGTTGGACGACTAATTCCTTAAATCTTTCCGAAAACAAATTAATTATTTCGAGTGGTTGTTTCATTATCTCTTGTTTTTTTTCTCTTAGACGTGATGGTCGACTAGTCATACCAAGCTTCAATGGTCATAAAGGATGGGTTATGTCTGTAGATTTTGCCCCAGACAATCGGCACTTAGTTACTGCATCAACCGACTGTTCCGTTCGCATATGGGATCTGGCATCAAAAGAAGAAAAACAGTGTTTAAATGCACACGAAGATCAGGTTAGTGACTTTCTTAACTTTCTTCAATTGGTGTACATGCTACTTGACGTTTATTGACCCAAATGATATAAAGACCTCACAAGATGTATAAGTAAAAGCCATTTTTTTGCAAATTGGTGTTCATTACTCATTCATCTGATTACAGAAAATCCGACCTTTTCGTTTGTAGTGACGGTAAACTTAATTGCTTGAAGTGAATGTTTCTCTAAATGCTAGTGGAGCAAAATAAAAGTTACAGTAGACATTCATGTGATTTATGGAAAAACATTTAGTTGTCATCGCTTGCCTGGGAAGTTAGTTTATTTAAATCGAAATATATCCTATGAATATCATTCCTGAAATAATCTCTACACTTGGCAAGTTTCTTATTTATAGTTGGTCTAGTTCTTGTGTAGATTTTTATATTCACATAAGAATGTTTTGGGACCTCATATTAATTTTGGTGTTACTCTGTTCTCACATGATCTGTTTCACTGCTACCAGTAAGACGTGACTTGGAAATAGAGTCTATCGGAGCTATGGGTTACTGGTTTAGTTTTCATCCGATAGCTCACAAGTTCGAACATTGCTGCTTCTACCGAGGCTTGGGCATCTAGGCAGTATCATTAGCCATCTCGCAATAGGCGTGTGGCTCGTTGCCTACTACACGAATATGCATAAGGTTGCTGAGTGCATTTTGATTCGATTTTAAAAGTCTACCGGTCTATTACTAGTGTATGTGTAACGTACTTAATTAAATTGAAGGTATAGAAAGTTTATTTCACACTAGTAGACGTGTTTTGTTGTTATTCCTTGAGACACAAAACACTACGAAAACTCAGACTTCATCGCTGAAAGATTCTAATACTTTGGTTACTAATCCTGAAACAGCATGACTGATAAGAGTTAACCCCTAATAACTTTAATAAAACACAATAAACGACGGCACAATTTGAATTTACCTCTTATCACTTTGAGATAAGAAATTGCATACTCTATAGACCAGTTCGTCATTTAAAACGAGGAGTTAAGAAGTATACTGGCAGACACTTGCTATTATTATTATTGTCATTATTACTATTATTAAAATTGTATATCATGTAGGATAATCTTCAGTCGTTACGTTCCAAATCCTGGCTGAACTCTAGCTCACTGGCCTGGGCTTTTGACTTTCAACCAATGGGTCTTGGGTTCAAACCATGCTCCACTTATCGAAGTTTGGCAAGCTAAATAGTGTCAACAGCCCTTACACAAAACGTGTGTTTGACGAGTTGTCAACTTTTCGATATTCGAAAATCACTGATGTAAAAGTTGTCTAATTTCATTTCGTATTCATTCTCTTTTATTCTACTTCATTTTACTTCTCCCTTCAAGACACCCAACTATTTATTTGTTGAACGTATACATCAAACAACTAAGAGTTAATCATTGAAACTGAGTTTATATGAGACACTCAGATTATGAGGAAAATGTCTCTCATTTTATATTACTGAATTTTTATTATTTGTCCCTTGGGTTCCTAATGGAACATAGGGCTTCAGTAGAACGTCTCCAATGCGCTCCGTCCTCTGAAATCTTTTGAACCTGGCTCCACGACAGCCCAAAAGCTCTCATTTCCTCCTCGCACCATCTCCTCCATGTCACCCTCACCTAGAACGCCCAACTCGTCGCTTCCCATCGGGGTTCTACTCGACGGCCTGGCCTGACTCGTGATGTCCCTAGTCGGCCTTCTCAGTGTATGTCCAATCCAATCCAATCCATCTCCACTTCCTTCTGCATATTTGTTGAGCGATAGCTTCTTGGTTGGTTCGTTCCCAGAGTTCCTTGCTGCTTATTCTTATTATTCTGGCAATCCATCTGATCTTCAGTAACGAGCCAGCGTAGACAGTCGTTGATGAATGTCTGTAGTTTGTTGGAAATCCCTTTCGTAACGCGTCACCAAGTCTCTGAACCATACAGAAGCACTGACTTGACTGGGTTGGTGTTGAGAATCCGGATCTTGTTCACACTCTATGCTGAGTGCAGAAGATCTCCACACTGGTTTCAGGTTAATGAACACCTCTCTTGCTTTTCCGATTCTGACTTTGACATGCTCGTCTGTGCCACCTGTAGTTGAGACAGTGCTTCCTAGATAGGTGAAGGAGGCTACTTCCTTCAAGTTTCTCCCGTTGACAGTGATTGGAGTTTGTTGTTGGTGGTGGTGGTGTTGGTTGGGTATCTTCACCTCTGTCTTCTCTATATTCACTTGAGGTCCCATCTTCGCTGCCCTGCCTCTTCTGTCAACTTGTTAGTTTTCGCCTGTAGATCTTCAAGTTTGTGTGACATCAGACACAAGTCATCATTGGCGAAATCCAAGTCTTCTAGGTTCTTTTCCGTAGTCCAGCCAGAGTATCCCCCTCTTCTCGCTCCCCACTGTTTGTTGCATGATCCAGTCCAGTCGACCACAATCAGGAATATCATGGGGGATAGTAGGCAGCAGCCTTGTTTCACTCCTGTCTTCATTTCAAAAGCATCACTGAGCTGAGCTTCCCATTGTGAATTACTTGGCTGGCATGTGGCGTCTTCATATAGTTGTTGAATGAGATTGATGAATGTTTGCGGTATTCCGTAGTATTGAAGCAGTTTCCAAATTACTTGTCGGTCGACGCTGTCAAAGGCCTTTTCAAAGTCGATGAAGTTGACGTAGAGAGTTGACTGCCATTCTAAACTGTGTTCTTTGATGATGCGAAGTGTAGCGTTGCAATTTGGTCTGCACATGATTTGTACTTCCTGAATCCAGCCTACCTGTTCGGGTCGTAGTTTAGAATGCAGTGCATCCTTTAGCCTCTCCAGGATGGTGCGGCTTAATATTTTGCTTGGGGTGGACAGGGACAGGAGAGTGATTCCGCGCCCGTTCTTGCAAACACTGAGGTCTCCCTTCTTCGGGAGTTTGACAAGGTAACCCTTCTTCCACTCAATCAGCAGGTACCTTCCCTTCCTTCCAGACCTTCTGCAATAGTGGTGTGAGCATGTCCGCTGTTGTCTCTGCGTCTGTTCTCAGTGCTTCTGACAGGATTCCATCTGGTCCTGCTGCTTTCCCACATTTCAGTAGCTTTATGGCGTTCAGGACTTCCATTTTTGTTGGAGGATTTATGTTCACTTATAGTTCTGTGACTGTGCTGCAGGTGGTATTTCTGGACGAAGTGCAGGTGGTGGTGGTGGTCGATTCAAGAACTCCTTGAAGTGGTCTGCCCATTGTTTCCTTTATTTCTCTTCTTTCGTAATTAAATTCCCGTCATCATCTTTTATTGGTTTCGTCTGCGTTGATTTCTTCCCAGATAGTAACCTGGTTATTTGATACAATGTTGTCAGGTCTCTCCTACCTGCAGCGTGTTCTGCTTCACTTGCCAGTGTGTCGTAGAAGTGTCTTTTGTCTTTGCGTGCACTCTTCTTCACTTCTTTGTCCAGTGTAGTGTTTAATACATTGTACTCAGTTCCGCTTCTCGTTGTGCATCCTCCTCTCCCTGCTCTATCAGCTTCCATGTGTCCATCGAGATCCATTCCTTATCTTCCTTCTTCTTCCTTCCTAATACGGTTGTGCATGTTTCTTTCCACATCTCTTTCAAAGACTTCCAGTGTTCTTCCACACAGGTTTCTTCAGGGATGTTGCTCGATATCTCCCATTTTGTCTTGATGGCTGACTGATGTGAAAATTTCCTTTGTAATTTCATCCTTCAGTTTCCGAGTGTTGTACTTGAACTGTGGTCTGTCACCAACTTCCTTGAAGGCTTTTAACTTGATTTAGAAGTTAGGTTCCTTGCACTAGATAGTGGTGTGAGTGGTCTGAACCTACACCTGCTCCTCTTCTTGACCTTGTGTCAAGTAGGCTGTCTGCGTCTCCACTTTTTTGAGATTGAGATGAAGTCGATCTGATTTTTAGTGTAGTGTGTCCATCTGGTGTCTGGTGAAATCCATGTGGCTTTGTGGATATCCTTGTGCTTGAACACACTGCCTCACCTCCAATCACCAAATCGTTGAATGCACAGAATTCTGCAAACAATTCTCCATTCTCGTTCATCACCTCGCAGAGTGCTTCTCGACCCATGGTTTGTTCTCTTCCTGTGTTGTTCGCTCCTCGCAGTTTGGCATTCATGTCACCCCACCAATTAGAATTTGGATATCGCCAACTGGTATGGGGTCTTGTCCAGTGTTGATAGCAGTTGTCTGTAGAATTCCTTCTTTTTCTCTTGCTCTGCATTATTTGTAGGTGCGAAGCGTAGCATTGTATGATTGTGACCTTCCTTCCTTTTGAGTTGAATCTTGCTGTCATGATCGTGGAGGAGATTGGTTCCCACTGCATGAGAGAGAGCCTTCGATGCTGTTGAGGGGGACATCATGATAGCCACTCCCTCAGTGTGCTCGTGGTTGTCGTCTGGGTGACAGTTTCGGAGTAGATTATTGATTCTCCAGTTGACAGTTTGGAGAGTCCACTTCCATTCCATCTACTTTCGCATATTCCTAGCACTTCACTGTGATACCTCTTCATCTCGTTTGCAATCTGGGCTGCCTTGCTGGGTTCAAACATGGTGCGGACATTCCATGTCCCCACGTTTACTTTCGCTTTCATCGGGAGAAGATAAGACACATGGGGTAATTGGCTTCCTGAAGGCTTTCACCAACTGGCGTCATTTCGCCTCTCTGATTCCAGTGAGGAATAATTTTGTTTTTATTTATTATATTTTGTTTGTACTTTGAAGTTTCTTTAGCGGTTAGATTTGTTTTACGGGGTATGGTTGCTAGCCGTTTGCCCAACCTTCCCTGTTCACCCGGGCTTGTGACCGGCTAGTAACTAGTGAACTAGTTAACCAGGTGAGTTTATATTACTGAATGCTAAATAATACTAAACAGGGACAAAAAAACATAGTTTCGAGGTTTCCCGGAATATTTCTATTCTCTGAAAGATTTATATTCAGTACAAGCGTGAAAACCTAAAGTATTACCAAAACAGAAATTAATGGCACCTATAAGTTAGCTGGAATCATTCTCTGTTTTCCGAAATCATTGGCTGTCTACCAACAGTGTATCAACTTCCTAATAAATATGAAAATATTAACAGGTCCGTGTTCTATTGCATCTGTTTTTAGTCTGATATTTCCAACTCCCACTATTTAAACTGATATACAGAAGTCCCCAGTCTTCAAATTCAAAATGAGCGCTTAGTTGACTTTGATAGCCAAGCCTGACCGAAACAAAATGATATATTGAGAATTAATAAAAGGGGTGGTCGATTTTTGGTTGTCGCGAATAAGACAAAGACAACACTTTTGGCATTTATGAATGTATGTTGATAAAAAAAACAGTTGTTTTCGATTATCAGTAAACCTCATTTTGAGCTTCTCATATCTACAAGTTATAAGAATCCAAGTACAATACTGTGATGAAAACGAAAGTAATCCAGCTGTTAATATCATGTTTTGAAAAGAATTGCAGTAATCAAAGCACAGGGACATATTAGCCTAGTGGATAATCACTTGGCGTTTAGAGCGATGGACACTGAGTTCGAGTCTCAGTGGAAACACTCACCCATTGAGATGCAGGTATATCCAACCGACAAGTCCCGAATTGGACGAAACATGGGTCATGGACTCCGCTGCTGACCTCTATCCATTTTTAATATTAAATTTTCACGTTAGTTTTCTTAGTATTTTTTTAATCTGTTTACCATTCTGTTGCTTATTACAGGTTTGGTGCGCCCGGTATAGTCCCAGAGGAAAAAATATTATATCTGTTGGGGATGATAGATCCATATTGATCTATCAATGCGCTTAAATAAACTATTTAAACACTTTTATAATCACTTTTAATCTTTTTTCATATAAAAAATCTTCCTACTGACTTTTTCATCATTCATTCAAATTTCCTTCACGGATATCTGTTCACTCGATCCTACGTCATCTGTTAGGGACTTGAAACCTGTTGTACTATGGACTGTACTAACTGAATAAAACATATGACAAACCGAGCTGCGATTTTCGTTAAAATCACGGTAATTTTACGGTAAGGAATACAAATATCGATACGAATAACGCTAAAGAATTTGGAATTCGACCGAAAGCCACTACATTAGCACGATGCTTAAGCTTGCATGAAACAGTGAGCCACGCCAGCTGGAATGCTTGTTCCTTTTTTTCTTACCATAACAGAAATGTCTCTTAGATGGTGGGAAAACTGTTCTAGCTTAAATAGCTTGCGCTTTGGTAGGCGGGCAAAGTTTCACTGCAAGTGTGACTGTAGTAAAGTGCTTCCTTAGAATAACCAGCACCTCATACTTATACCGTTTTTATTAAAAGAACGAGTGAGAAGGTCATCCTTAGAATACTACGCTCCTTGTCCTGTAGGCTACTGGTACCGCTTTGCTTCAATTACGATAGCAAAAATGAAGTCTGATACTCGCAGAAATACTACGTGTTACCACCATAAAGCAGTTATAATTAGAGCTTTATGGTCACCCTAAGTTCTAGGGTAGGGAGCACGCTGCTCAACTGGGTCCTGGATGAAATCTGTCTGTCCACCGTTTAACCAAGTGGCACAGTAAAGACTAAAAAGGTTAACGCCACAAGTCATTTTCTCTTTGTAGTCTCTTCCTACACTCTTACTAACTGAAGTTTAAGTAAAAGATGAATTCTTTGCCGGTCTTTACTAAGAGCTGAGCGTTCGGATGTTATAGCTGCTGGGTCCAATGCATAAGTAACAAGACCAATCCGGACAGTGATACTGTCAGAGCCCTAAGTGACCAGACTGTTAATGGTGACCGCCTGTTTCAACTTTCATTAGACAGCCAAATATTTCTAGGTGAAGCGAATGAGAGACAGGGTGTAAATTGGCTTTCATTTACCTCAACTCGAGGTTGGACCACTTCACTATCACTTACCTCTAGAGATTGCCAACCCCTTTTGAAGTGCGTGCTTGAATGGGGACTGCATGTTGGCATGCGCTTAAATAAACTCAGACTGCCTTTAAATGACAACATACGACAGGATATGATTATGCTTCTCATTCTCAAGAAGCCTGGAATCATATTCAGCTTGCTGTGAAAACAGTGATAAATATTCAACCTGGATCTCGGAAGGTAGCAGCAACGGACCAGGGGATCAATAACATCCAAATTAGTGGATCCAAGTGGAGGTATTTCTCCAGGCTTCGAGGTCTATGAACATTTGCAGCAAATAAGTATATAAAGTGATTGTGAATAAAACAAACAATGTGAGCGAAGAAATATTTCTTTTCAATTAGTTCCTCATCAACGGCTCTACACTAATACAGCATTTTCACATAATTTGTTTTACTAAATGTCTAAATGGGAATTTTCCCGCTACTGATTGTGAATAGTAGTGTACAGCGAAAATTAAAATTGTGTAGGTGGTAACGACAGACAGTCATTTGGTTTTATTAACGGAACGCAAAAATGTAGCATTTAGTAAAAGTATAATGAGGAAGGGTATATCTGTAATCCCATTGGAGAGGAGACAATCGACAAAACACCTCAATAACTGGATTGCAGTTATCCAACTTAACAGACACCCTGAATGAAACTTTGATATTAGGCCTCTGGCTTTTGCAAAAGTTAAGACGGCTAAATAGCTTGAGATGAGGACTGGTATCGGATCGTGATGGACTAGCATTGAAGGTATTAAAGAATGGTAGCATAAACTCATTGTTTTTACTGACTGAGGTATCAACTGGCCTATCAGACAGTCACTCTGACTGGTCGTAAATGCTGACTGGATCAGTCCTCAAGAAAGGAGGAATTTCGTAATAACCCAAGAGGAGTCAGCTCGATAAAGATAGTTCCTACGTTCTTTAGTAATCCGACACCTAGGTGGATCTCTGCATCGGTGAAAACAAAGACATTCTCTTGAATAAACCGATCAGATCTTGGAGCACAGGCATACTCATCAACACTAGACATATTTAACCTGAAAATGGCATCTGACGCATTAGCCCATACGGTCTTACGAGCGTCATTAAATAGGGTATCAAGCAAATATATTGCTCTTCTGGAGGCTTTATACGTAAATATCCGTGGTTGCGTTATAGCCTACTATGAGCTGTCTACTCTAAGGATATTCACCCTCCACTTTTATTTGACTTCGTTTACGAAGTCTCCCTTTTTTCTTTGACTTAATGGGGATTAAAATTCTTGCAAGAGATTCCATAGAGTACACAGACGAGAGTTCTGTCCATTAAAGACACTAACAAAATGCAGTTTGACAATGCTTGGAATGTTTTTCTCACGAAAATACAAATTGATTGTGTTGATAAATCGTCTAACAATCTAAGGTGAACTGTCTTAACGTGGTCGATTGATTCCTGCCGACTTAGCTTGTCTGACTGGTGATGCATCGGAATACTTACTAAGTATTTCTACTACAGCATAGTTTGCTCTCCTACTAAATGGTTCGCAGAAATGAACATTAAAAGTAAGAGTCTGCATTGCCAGTGAAATGGCACAAAATTGGCCACATTTGGGCAGATAGATTCATGCTTTCAGATGTCGAGACGAATGTAAGTCGACAACCATATGCAGTTTCGTGCAAGAGATAATGAGCAGTACCTAACTTTTATGTGATAGCTGGTGATGGTATATGGCTACCAGGCTTCGGTTACTGGAGCGTGATTCAAGTTCTGTGTTGATTTATTGAAAAACGAGCAGATAAAATCACTCATCCAGGCATACATACAACCTCGAAGGTTTGAAACTTTGGTGGAGTTTGGGATTTCTTGGTTTTGTGGGTTCATTTTACCGTAAAACACAAAATATGTCTATATTGTTTTCTGATTGCCCTTAAACATTAAATTTTGAATGCATTCCATCAGAATATTCAGCACTGTAAGTGAGAAATCACGTTCTCAAGTTGCTCAACGTAATATCAATGCCATTGACCAGACCTTCCCTCAAATCCTTTGCTGTGTTATATTTGTGTACAGTGCCTCAGTATATATCAGTAATACCGAAATAAGTATTCATATAGTGCGAAAGCTGATTGTTTCAAGCTCTTTATTACTCTTTTGTTTTCTTTCATTCCCAGGACATTTTGTATTGTAGTTAAGCTGTAAAAACTAAGTCTGGATTTCCTCTCTATTGCTGAAAAAGAAAGACGATCAAAGCATTCTTTATCTTAATTGTATTGTGTTCTGTGAGCTAGGTTATTTAATCGTGGGGTTTTCATCATCTTTCTATGCGACATCAGCACTAACTTCAGTATGATGGGGCTGGAGATACAAACTACGTAATGTCTGAGAGTTAGCGGAACCCATAAGTAATAAAGCATCTTTTTAACCATCTGAGATAGCCATGATTGACAGACTTGTATTGATACTAGATAAGTAACTGAAGGTGAAATAGGAATTTCCACCGCAGTAGGATTCGAACCACTGGGTTTCCGGTCCGGTGTACTACAAACTGAGCTACGACTAATGACCAGATTTTTATTTCACTTCAACCCCTAAGGATTTTGCCCAACTGCTATGTAAATTCGTCACATGTTTCTATCTCCTTGTCGTACTCACACTGACTGCTCAGTCACGACTTCTCATCCAAATCTCCCTGATTTAGAAAGAGAAAGCATCCTATTGATTATCAGTTTGACTATCTGAGATAGCTGTGGTTTGGCAGACTTGTATTAATACTGGATGATGATCGAAGGTGAAGTGAAAATTTAAGCCTCTCAATTCAATGTGGAATGCATATATTTGAAATACGATCGAATCATTTTCCTAATTCACTCTGTGCAACTACCGTTAATGTCCATGTGCCCCTTTCATAAGATCATCAGATAAAACAGTTCGATGACCAACTGCATTTTCTGGATACAACTTTCATGCATAACAGTGAATTGAGAAGATTTTTCGTGCAACTTATTACAACTGTTAAGCTAAAAAGAAGGTAAGGAGTAAATGGTTCGGAGCAGGAGGCATGCATCCAACCTACTCCGAAGGAGTAACTATGAGTGTATCAAAAGAGAAAGGGGTGAAAAGACGAAAGCCACAGTCATAGTTACCGAAAGCAGAAGTCAGAATCAAAATCTGATTGTTCTCTATGGCTGGTATTAACTACATTGTGGTCAGAATTTCCTCAGTGAATAGTCACAAAACAGTTTCATCAAATTGCATTTCACAACAAATCTAATTCTACATAAACGAGAAGCACTAGTCTGCAAATGAGGATTGAAATGAAAACACTTGTGGTGTTTCATTAGACCTGTTCACTTTCTCACCCTGTCATTTATCATTCTTAATTTCCTTGTTTCAGTAACCAAGTGAATTTGTTACTATGAGGAGTGATTTCATCAGACCTGAAAAGACGAATTCCAGCTTTCAGCTGTCGGAACTAGGGTCACGGAAAATGACATGTGTATGAAGGTTGCGCAATCACACATTTGTCTGTGAGGAAAGTATTCATGTGAAGGAGATGATGAATGATGTTGATGTAGTGGTGGAAAAATAGAAGTTATGTTATGTTATGTATATGTAGAGCAATATGTATTGAAACAACGTGATGTGAAGTGAATCGTTGTTCTGGTTGTTATGTGGAAGTGCATGCGTGCTTATTTATTCTGCTCATGCCAGTAGACGGATGGAGAAGGAAGGTTGATGAGTAACTAACTTTCAGAGGGTGAATTATTTTATCTTGACCAACTGCTTTTACTTTTCATCAGGAAATCTCTCCCACTGTTCTCTAGGCTTAGTTGCAACCAGAGTTCAGTATGTGGTAAATATCTGTGAAACATATGCAGCAGGTGAAATGGATTGAAGTGAATAACACCTTT